GATTGTGTCAGATTAGAAGATGTTTTAAAATTACTAAATGAGGAAAATCAACCCAAAAGATAATAAAGATAATAAAATACATTCATACAAAGAAAAAAACAAGAATGAAAGGTGAGAATGAACTTACTGAGGAAGTATAAGTCATCTCGGGAGTCAGGGTGATAGCTTGAGCCGATTACTGTTTAACTAATTATTGTAGTAATTGTCAAAATCATAGAAGAGATCGAAAGTACAGGACGAGGATATAAGATGGGAGAAAAACAAATAAAAATCTGAATAACCTACTTCGCATTTAAAATATACTATTTTTTAACACATTGTAAGTTTCCTGCCATTTAATAATTACAAATAAGGTTGTATTTCATCCATTTCTTTCTGAAATTATTGCATAAACGCATTTGAGGGATTGATTTATTCTAATTAACTTTTCATTACTATAAATTATATTTTTATTTTAACATTGCAGCAGTAAACATTCACCTTCAAAAGATAAAGACCGGAATAGCAGTTCAAAAAGTAGAGACAAAGACAGACACTCATCATCGAATCATAAATCTTCTAGCCACTCATCTTCATCCAGAGATAAGGACAAGGATAGAAGGAAGAGTTCGTCTTCTCATAAAAGCAGCAGTTCCGGCGATAAAAAGAGACAAAGAAGTCCCAGCGGTGACAAACATCACTCTAAGAAATCTAAAAAGTAAAGTTTATATTAGATCTATTGTTTTGTGTAATGTTTCAAATACTTTTATATAGTTTGCAACTTTCTGGATGTATGTGAAGACTAGCCAACCAACAGTTCGTTTAATTCCTAGTTAATTTTTTATATCAATATTTGTATTACTTCATTTCATTGTTCAATAAAACAAAATGTAATGATTATTCCATTTCCCCAATCACCTTCTCACTAAAATATATAAGATATTTGTACAGGTTGTTTCATTAATAATTGGAAATATTTTAGCTGTAGATTTCTGGGCTCAAAATATTAAGATTAACCCAAATCACTTAAATAAAGTGTGGCTCCTTACTGAGTTACAGGGTGTTTCATTTAAAAAATATTTGTACCCAGTACTTTAAAACTATTTGACATATTCTTGTCATACTTGGCAGGAGGTGTAATTGCTTAACAGCCTACTAAATTATGTTAAATGCATGTTCTGGCTACCGGAGAAAGTAGATGGCAGTCCCTCCCAAATTCTACGCCACTGGCGGAATTGTTATTTTACCAGTTAAGTATCATACAAGAGAAATAACTAAAATAATTCAAGAAAACAAAAAGTAAGTTTTGAGGCGAAATACGAGCAGCCTAAGCAACAAAAATACAAATAAAATATCCCAAAATTTTATGGGATAAGAATTAATGCCAGAAATAACTCAATACGAAATCAAAACGGCACTTTTAGAAATGAAAAATAACAAATCCCCTGGCGATGACGCAGTAGTGATCGAGGCGATGAAACTAGGTGGAAATAACATTATCCAGGCTTTGGCCAAGCATTTCACCGAATGCATGTATACTAAAACAATTTTTAATTGAAGGTGATTACTTGGCAACATCGCACTTACGCAAACTTTTCAACGAAATCATATTCAACTTATCAATTTTGCACAGGGTACCAAAAAAAATTAATTATTTATTTAAACACATAAGTAATTACATAAAAATTAAATCTAAGGCCGATATAATTATTAAATTATGTGTGTTTTGACAGGTAGTTGTCTAACAAATTAAAGTAAAATTTTATTTATATTAGAGAGTACCTAATACAGAACACTTTGGAAAATACTTATTTTTTTATTAGACTAAACCATCCGAAATTTTAACATACGATCTCGTCATTACACATCATTCTCTATGAAAGTTTCCTTGTGTTGATTTGTTTATATAAATATAACAATATGAGGTTCATATAAATTAAAATGAAGTAAGCTAAACTATTATCATGTAAATGCGTGTATATAGTAGTGCATTTGTTTATTTCAGTAAATTCTCGAAATATGTAATGAAGATAGCATTAACTTCTAAAGAGTTAATAGCTTTGTTAGAAGACTCAGATTGTAAAAATGCTGACTCACTTAATGTGGTTTATTTGCCGCCGAGATTAGATTAAAAAGTTTCTGATGTAGAAGACGTTGATAATTTGTGAAGAATCGGATGTTGCAGGTACATATGAAATAAAGTGTTCTGACGATTCTGATTTCAAAGAAAAAAACCGGGCAAAATTAGTTAATCCAAATTTTTCTTAAGTTGTAATAACAGATACTCCTTAGTGTTCAAAAGTAATTCAACACCAGTCTGAGATTATTATTTAGACAATATAAAAGCCACCCATGCAGGCAAGTCATATATTAAAGTTTTTCACTCTTCTTGATAAAGTAATTAAGAGCATGCTATATTTTACAAATATGTACGTATTTAACTCAGGAAGGTACTTTTTAAAAAGACGCTTTAATAACTTTTACAACTATACTGCAATGTTTAATTAATCATAAATAAATGAATTTAATTACAATAGTACAATAAAACCTCCCTTAACCGAAACGGCTGACAGTTTCAATAATTTCGTCAATAAAAAGTAAATTTTTATCGCTAAACGTAAACAATTTCAATAATTTCATTCTCCGATTAATGAATATGTGTGTTGGGGAATCAAAAAACCAAGAGCTCTAAAAGATATTTCCGAAAAAGCATTTCCAGTTTTTTGTAGAAGCCAAAAAAGCTCATGGATGTCGACCACTTTATTTTCAGAATTGTTGAAAGTTAATTCGTCCCAAGAGTAAAATTCTTTTTAAATCAAAAAACCTTTCCATCAAAGCATTATTGCTTATCTACAAAATGGTGACAATTGTCAGATTTTGACCACTGAATGTCACGAGCTTAATTCAGCTGTTAGACCAGGGAGTAATAGAGACATTATAGAGGAGCATTCTTAAGACATCTGTTATTACAGGAGACGAATGAATCCAAAAGTGTTCCCGAAATTCTCAAATCTTTAACAATGAAACATGTTATTTATTGGTGTGTTGAGTCGTGGACCAAGATCAATTCTTCAACTTGGGAAAAATGCTGAAACAAACTTGATGGGATTTTGATAGACGATTTTGAAGAAGAAAAGCATGTAGTTTTAGAATAGGTGCGATGGAGAGCGGATGAGATAGTGGGGTGGGCACGTTGAAATTTGAAATATTACAGTATAGGTCTTCCACCATGTAATCCTCAACGAATAGGGATTTTTAGTGAGTAAAAATTCCATACTACCATTCAAAACGGGCCGTATATCTTTGGACGATTTTCCTCACCTCATAAAATGGCAAATCAATATAATGAGAAGTTATGAATAAATAGGATTATGGAAATACTATAAAAGCTATTGAAATAATAATAATAATATTCTCCAACAGAAGTCGATCATAGACTACATAATAATGAGACGGAAATCAATATTTAAGTACCACGACTGCAGACTAAAACGAGGATCTAACTGTGGGACAGACCATTACTTTCTCTAATCTTTTGTGCCCCTTTAAACAATACTACACCTAAAGTAAGAGAAACAATACTACACAGTGCAAAACGGAGAGATATAAATTGCACCTTTTATTCCAACCAAGTATTAAACATATTTTTTAATCTAGATTAGGGAGGGAGGGTTGGCGAAGGAGAACGGGATACGGCGATAGCCGTTATAATTAGCCTAACGACTACAAGTACATTTGGATTTATGGATTAAATAATATCTCCTAGTAATTTGAAATTTTATTAATTAAAAACTACAATACGAATTTTAAGAGAAAATACAAGGTAGTTTATCTATTTACAAAAAGTACTTATTAAATGGACAGCTAAATTTATCATAATCAGCGTCCTAAATACAGTCACATTTGTTTTCATACGAGTTTATCAAACATTTTTATTCATAAATAAAGGGATATTATTTTACCTGCAGATAATATATAAAATAAAACATTGAACATAACGATCAATGAAATGGGTCAAAGTGCCAGGTTTTTTAAATGAAATTTCTTTTTTATTTTTCTTGATTAATTACTCCAACTTAAACACAAAAAAATGTTTCTTATTTAAAATTTTATTTTGTGTGCAACTATATAGGGTCTAGAATATTTCTTCTTTCTAGACTTCTGTGCCCCAAAGAGTTAAAACTGAGAAAAACGCAAAATTACTATTTTCATGATACAAAAACATATGTGAAAACAATATTTTTGAATTTACCAAGGACCTAAATTCAAGTTCAAACCTTGTTTTATCATTTTCCAATAAGTATTGTCCTGTGTGATCAAACAAGACCTGATTTAGGTCCTTGGTAAATTTAAAAATATTGTTTTTTCATATGTTTTTGAGACATGAAAATCGTAATTTTGCGTTTTCCTCAGTTTTAAATTATTTATAACTCGAAAACGATCAAGTTTACAGAAAAACTATAAATTTTGTGCAGAATGATCCAAAAATTTAAAAATTGTTTGAAAAAATTCTCTCATCTCATGAAAATGATTATGCCTAAATCTCATGGACATATTTTTCCGAACGAACCCGAATTTTCCGAATTTTTCTATTAATATCTTACCATTAACATTTTTTAAGAGTCGTTAAGTCTGATATGTAATATTATTATTAATCTCATATATATATATATATATATATATATAATATATATATATATATATATATATATATATAATATATATCTATATATATATATATATATATATATATAATATATATATATATATATATATATATATATATTTAATAAATATGTTTTTAAATAAGATAATGCATTGTTCGGTAATTTCTATAAAATCTAAACATAATTAATACATATTATATATTTGCGATCGTTGGAGTAAAGAGTTGCACATGTTTTATTGAGATTTTTTAACGGTACGACGAAATTACTGTTGGTTGTATTTTTTTTGTGTTTTGCCGAAAATATCGAAACGTAGTTTTGGCGAACTGTATCCGATAATGGTTGACATGTTGATCAAAACCGAGTATCATCAGGCATTCGTTCAAAGAATGCGACATTATCTTCTTCTACTCTGTAGTCATGAATCCATCGGCTGCCCTTTCTTAAACTTCCATCTATTCCATCTTTCCAAACGCCGGCAGGAAGATATATCTACAAACAAAATAACATGATTTAATTGAATGACTAAAGTATTTAAAACATTCATAATTTTTTTTCAATATTAACCCTCTAATTGTAAGAGGTCTCCGAGGGCCCCTCGCTTATTATTTATTTAAGCCGCAGGTAAAAGTCAGGTATCCGCAAACTGTTTTGAATCTTCCCCACTAGTTCGTCTATAGAAAATGTCACACTGAGAGTGCAGTACGGGTAAGATACGGCAATGCTTTTCTTATGGAGAATAAACGCACAGGGTTGTCGGTTTTCTCCAGCTGTTGATTGCTCATTGTCTCACAGGACCGGCTTGGATAAAATGCATCTGCCGGCAGTACGAGTAAAATATTTTATATCATGTATACGTATACAGTAGAATAAAAAGACATTGATGAGTTATTGACAACGAAAACTATGAATTTTGCATATAAAACGTCAACATGAGATATACTATTGAATCATATTCATAAGAGTAACATTTGAACACCTCTTTACAAGAACAACATACAATAACTGTAGTTTTAATGTTTTACATAAAATAGAAAAAACCTACATAATTTCTAGGAAATAATTTGGAAACTTGGAAATGATATTATTCATAGATATTATATATAATATTCAAATTTCCAATTCTTTCATAGAAATTAGATTTTTTCTATTGTATGTAAAATATTAAAAATACAGTTATGTTGTTTCTATAAATAGGTCTTCATTTCTTTTGTAAAACTTCTGCTACAAATTACCATCATTAACATAATCACCTAAATATGGCCATAAACTTGTTTGTCATAATTAGTATTTGATAAACTCCAAGCTTTCCCTATTTCACCCCCTACTCATCCTAAGGATGGGTAGGGGTTGAAAGTGTTTTTGGAAAACGAAACTACACTTCAAAATTTAGTCCGAGTTTCAACAGAAAGCATGGAGTCCCATAAGTTTAAATCCGGTGAATTATTTAACGGTTGCGCTAAACTCGTAGTGTTAAATGTATTGTGTTTTTTACAAAATACGGAACAACTTGTTATAATGTAAGTGTAAGTACTGCTGTAAGACGTACTTCGTTGATGACTGGTGTTAGCGAAAGAAACATTTACAATTTCAAAAAAGAAAAAGAACAGAGTGGAACGTTGAAATCGCCAAAAAAAAACGTAAAAAACGAGTGTGTCAATCAAATTCTAGAATATTCACACATGACGAGGGTGTAAGAAGTATTCTACGGAGATTTGTTCATTGTGAATTTTTCATGAAAAATTTGCCGCCACTCTTAAAGCATATACATAACTTCATACAAGGTAATGAGAATATACAGCCGTTGTCTCTTTCTACTTTATACAGACTTCTGAAAGATATTGGATTTGTTTATAAGAAACGTGGCCGAAAAAGCATCATGGTGGAGCGAGAGGATATTATTCATTGGCGCCATATTTATTTGAGAACTATACGACGTTTGCGAAAAGACCATTGCAATATCATATATTTGGACGAATCGTGGGTTAATGTTGGCCAATCTATAAATTACGAATGGTGCGATACTACGATACAAAACAGTCGTGATGCTTTTCTCAAAGGTTTAAGAACTGGCTTAAAAGCACCTACTAAACGAGGTCCACGATATGTTTTATTGCATGCAGGTTTTTCAGGAGGTTTGCTTCCTGGTACACAGCGTGCTTTTCTGGCAAAGAAAAATGATGGCAACTATCACGATGAAATGGATGCCGCATATTTTGAGTCGTGGTTTAAGGAGACATTTATATAAAATTTACCAAATAATGGTCGCAGGAATGTCATTGTAATGGACAATGCATCGTACCACTCCCGTAAAGAGAGATTCCCTAACAATTCCTGGAATAAAGATGCAATCAAGGAATGGCTAGTGGAAAAAGACATTTTTTTCGAGGAGTGTTATTTGAAATCCGAGCTATTAGAAGCAGTGCGTGCTTTTAAAGATCAATACGATAAGTATCATCTTGATGAGTATGCTTCACAACATAATGTTTATATTTTAAGGCTTCCTCCAAATCACTGCGAATTGATTCCTATAGAAATGGTGTGGAATCAAGTTAAGCGATATGTATGTAGAGGTACGCCAGTTGATCGACGACGGTTTCGCACGCGTCACAGAGCAAAATTGGCGCAATTATGTCACTCATGTTGTAGAGAAAACGGAAACTAAGATGTGGACTGCGGACAACCTGCAAGATGACGTAGACCAATTGATAATACATGCGAACACAGGGAAGAGTAGCGAAAGCGAATCCGACATCTCGGATGTAGAGGAAGACTTTAGTATAATTAATTGAATATCTGTGAGTAACCTCTATTATTTTACACTGTATAACCAATAAAATGCATTTACCAGTCCAATCAGAGTATGGGCTTTTCGGATATTGGACTGGGTGTACGGAAATCGAGTTCCCGGAGGTTCCAACCTGTATATTTATAGCTATCAAGAAAGGTAATTTAAAATATATTTGTTAGTTTAATAAAGTATAAATATAATATAATGTTAAATAACTTACACTATAAACCTTATACCTGCTCATCTGGTCAAGTGTGGACCAGGAAAACCATTATCCCATATGGAATAACACAAGGTTTCGCTGAAAACTACCAGGTTGCTATGCTAAGGAATAGGTAAACTTATGTTGTGTGTAAAAAATGCGAGACTGCATTATGTTTTAACAAGGACAAAAACTGCATTTCAGATTTGCACAAAAAAAATTTCATAGTAGGTGTTAAAATTTCGCAGTGATTCAAGTTCGCAACTTGTTTTTTTAATAACATTGCCGGGAATAAAAATGTGCAAAGCTTTTTCGGTATTCCCGTTCCTGATAATTTTTCACATATTTACAAAAGAAAAAGTTTTTCTTGGATATTGGGCTGGGTGCACGGGAATCGAGTTACCGGAGGTTCCACCCGGTATATTTATAGCTATCAAGAAATGTAATTTAAAATACATTTGTTAGTTTAATAAAGTATACAGTTTTATAATAAAATTCTCGCTAAAAACTTAAGGTCTTTTTATTCAAATTCATGCCTCTCATTTGGCTACTTGAAGGCAATTATTTTATCAATATATTATTTTATAATAAATAACAGAGCCCGGCGTAGAGATCTGGGTACGGTTCTGTGACTACCACTTGGACCTGTTGTATCGCCAAGCACAAGGCGTGAAATCCGGCAATAATTGTGTATTGTGCATTCCTATATTAGCCGTACTGCACTCTTGGTGTGCCATTTTCTATAAACGTTTCAAATGCATTCTAAATTCATTAAACCTTATCGTTACATTTTTGTCTCAGTTTTGTGATGAGTTTTGTGTGACAGGTCGAGGTGAACGCAGAACAATTTTCTCTCCCTTAAAAATTTTTTTCGAAGTAAAATTATGGTATTGCGGTAGTTTAGAGCTTCAAGTTTCACTATATATTGTGATAATTACAAAACAAGTATTCTGAGTGTGCTTTAGAAGCGAAAATAAAAAGGGTTCCCAAGGAACCCCTTGCCGGTTTATGTGAAGTTTCGTCCCACTTTGTTATGATTGTTGTGATGTGTTGTTGTGCTATTGTTTCCCAATATTTAATTACCCATTACAACACTTACTTTGGGCAAAAAATGAAAAAAACTCAAAAAATACGTATTTTGCACCTATAAACGCTCATAAATAAACAATAACCAAAAATTTTTTGATGAATGAACTGGGGAATGCTCCTGAGGTTGCCCTTTATAACCTAGGCCACATTACATAAATCCCTGGATTAGAGAGTACTTTTTCCCCCACAGTCTGGGCTAGTAACAATATTTTGTACTGCTGCATAAATAAATACATTTTTAATAACAGAGACAGTAATTTGTTTTCCACACTAAAATATACTTGTACTTACTTCTCTCTCTCTAGCACCACTGTGTAAAACAGGAGCTACAATTATTTCATCACCAATCGAAAATTCGTCAACAGCCAAATGACAGGCGGGGTCGTCTGAGTCTAACATCCATAATGGACGAATAATTGGTAAACCTAAGTTTAATGACACCCTTGCAAATTTTTTTAATTTTGGTGTAATCTAAAATATAAAAAGATATCATATAGCTAACAACTAAGCACAATGTAAGTAATAAAAAGCTTTTTATCTTCTTAATATTAATATCGTAATTCAGGGTTTCCCAAACTTTTTTGGCCGAGGAGCACTATTCACGACAGAAATTATGTAGGAATCACTTACCCACTGAAATGTATATTGGGACCGTGCAAGTTCGGAACAGCGACACCTGGTGTCGCAAATCAGCCAAATTTACTGCGCTTTCATGTTAGATCGAGGTAACCGGATAACTATCAAGGACGTGGCCCCAAAAAAGAATAAGAAGAAAAAGTAGGATTGAGGTTATGTCGGTATGTTATTAAAAGGTAAACGTTGATGTAGCGCAAATACAAATAGATATATTATTGAATTACAGCATTACTGTTAATATGGATGCAATAATAAAAACTGGATTTGAGAAAGTAAATCACCAAATAACTTTTCAACCAAGCACGAGTCAAAGGGAAAAGCTTTAGTAGTGGCAAATGTCAAAAAAGAATGGAAGAATTATGTGGAGTGGAAGAATTAAGAAAAATAAATTACCATAAATAATGCTAATGTATAAATTAGCAGGTTAAGCCCACGGTTCGTAGACTTACTACGGTTGCCTCTTCCGACTGGGGTGGGGATGCTTGAGGTACGTCACAGGAGTACACAAGAATACAAAACCCATTTATTCGCGATTAAAACTGAATGTAGAGGGCAGGTCGATTGCAGTGTCATGGCCGATATAAATGGTATAACCAAAGACAAACATAACATTCGAATATTTACCATTGCTTTTCCATGTTTAGTTTGTATCGAGTTATTTGTATCATTTAATAATGGAAATTAACCTTAATGATATCTTTGAGTATTGTGGTGAAGCAAAGAGTCCATTGGTTGAAGGGGAAGCAGTTTTCAAGTGATGAATTCCTAAATTTTAACTTTAATGTTTCGAACTGGCTTGTGTATTGATGACGATGAATCCTATTTTGTGTATACCTGGGAACCCAGAATATAATATTCTGTGTAATGTTTGCCTTAACGTATATATATGCATTATTATATCTTATGTTTTTAATATGTTAATTTTTATTTTATACTATTTTTTGACATATGTAAGTACTTTATTGTATATTAACATAAATAAATAACTTTAACTTGGCTTTATTGTAAAATAGTTCATTTGATTACATAAAATATGAAATCAACCTACTTTATTTATAAAACATTTTTGTTTTGATACATCCATCCAATCACAGGGCTGAATGTTAAGATGCAAATTACGTCACAGGAGTACAATCCGGCTTAACGTTCATTGGTTAGGCGGAAGAGGCAACCGTAGTAAGTCTAGGAACCGTGGGTTAAGCCCATGATATCATATTGGTTTGAACAATTAATTCTTTTCCTGTAAACTTTTGGACAGCGAATATATCTTAATGCATCTTCAGAAAAACTTGAACTTGATGCATTTTTGTAAACTTCAAAAAAATAAAATTTAAACATTAAACTTGATTTTTGGGTTAAAATGAACTCTAAGTGAGTGTTATGAAACTAAAATTTACACTTAAAAGTGAACTTTTATTTATTATTTATTTCAAACTGACTTTAAAATCGGGCGCAAGAATAATGCATAATTTAGGTTATGTTACTTATGCTTTTTTATGATATAAATCCACTTTTCTCTTTGTAGTAGCTTTGTGCTTCGAAGTCGGAAACGAATAAAACTTAAATTGACAATTTTTTGTTGTATTTTACAATTTATAACACAGCATTTCCTAAATCCCATTTTCTTCAGTGACAGAAATTGTAAATAAACAAAACGAATATGAAATATGACAATTGACAATATGAATTTATGAAATGTGCAGTAAAAAATTCAAGATTTTTCCACTACTCGCGCACGATCATTTCTCGTATCCCCTCCAAGCACGTCGCCAATAGATGCCACAGTGAACAAGAGATATTTTTGTTGGGGTTGGAGGGGGGGATATTAACCATTACATTTTCTATTCACTTTATTAATTTTTTTTAATCAAAAATACAAGAAACTTAATTGCATATAACGAAAAACAAAAATAGAATGAACACACAGATCCTATTTCTAAAATCTTAAAAAACGTAATGGCTTCATTTTAATGTGAAGAATGAGGCGGCCTTGATTTGCACAGGTTAGTAGGGGAGGACGGGGTAATGTCCTCATATGAGTATATACGAGGCAATTCCGTCACCGAGTATTTTTCACAAAATATTAGTCCTGCACGCACCTGACTAACGCTGAGACATAGCGTGCTTTGATCAGTACAGCTATTGCCGTTTTCAAGGTTAGTTCGTGCGAATATCAGTAAAACCGTTAGGTTAGGTAGTATTATGTAGGTAGGTAGGGGAAAGGAGGGCAAGATGACGATAGTAAGCTTAAAAAAATCCTAGAACTGATATTTTTCCTTGTATCGAATGCATGCAACTACAAGGTATAGTAGTACTTTACATATTAAAATTAGATTACGTAAGGGTTAATATTTCAAATTAAAATTTTAAAATTTATCTACCTATGTCATATTCGTCATCTTACCCTTCGTGGAGGGTAAGATGACTAATTGTGAAGGGTAAGATGACGAGGTATGTCTATTCTAAGAAAAAAAGTCAGTTTTATATATATATATATATATATATATATATATATATATATATATAGGCAGGAAAGTAAACAAATTAAAGTAAAATGCATTTATTTTGTAACTAATGCAGCACTTGTAGTAAGTCCTACATTTTTAAAAGTACCAATCACACGTCCATTGTTTTACCTTTGCTTCTTGACTATCCATTCCAGTGCATTCATCGTAAGCCCATTTCCTATACCTGCTGCAGCAATACCATAGCTCATCTTTTCCTCTTTCATTGCAGATTATGCAATCTCTTTCTTCCTCTGAATCGTTATCAGTGTCAGCATATTCCATATCTTCTGACGAGTTACACGAGTCGTCAAATTTTATTTTTCTCTTAGTCTTTTTCCTTTGGCTTTATCGAGAGTGAATTTCCTATTTTTTGATGAAAATTAAAGTCTTTGCTTCTATTTCTTTTCCAATTTTCTTCTGTTCTGTTATATCCCTTTTCCTCTCTTTTGCTAATTTGGAGCTTCCTTTTCTTCTAAAATCTTTACTATTGGTGTACTGGAAATAACGAGAGATGGTAATTTCTTTCTGGGTCGTTTTGCTTTTATTTCAGCAACAAGTAATTTAGGCAGACCATTATTCAATATATGATTTGATACATGAGGGGGTGTCCGACCAGCTATTCCTGATGTAGATGGAACAGGCATATTTGGAATAGAAATATCTAAAATTTCGTCAGATATTTCAACAGATTCTTGAGGTACTGTTTCTTTTAAAAGATATATCGGTGACATTCCTTAAATATCTGGCATTTACTCTTCGACCTTTACATTCTCCAAAGCAGAGGTAGTTGCCAAACTATTGCCAAAGATGCCTCAAAATCAAGTATATCAAACACCTGTCTATCAACAGGATATATGCCAGTGGCTCTAAAACCACTAAGAGTATTTGAAACAGTTGCTGCTTTTAAGTACGCTTTCCCAAATAGGGTTGCAATGTCATACAATGTTATAAGACGACCCGGATTACTGATCAATAAATCTTCGCAAGCTCGTGAGTATGCTGCAAAAGGATTGTGCAAAGTCTTTACCAACCATTTTCTTTGTAGTATCTATCAGCAACACTACAATGAACGGCAAATTCGAAAGCAATTTTTCTAAACTGATCCGTGGTTAATCCAAATGCCCGTTTATCTATATCTATCAGATCTAGTAGGTTCTGGAATATATGCTTTTGAGGCTGCATTGGCACTTACCTGATGAGCAGTTATTTAAGCCATTGCTCTTTTTATATTTTCTTTCGACCAAGATTGTCTGTCTGTCTTTCTTTTGTATATTTTGCCTATATTTAAATCTGAAATTGAAAGTAGCTATGACTTATTGTTAATTTTAGTTAATTCGGGTAAGATGACGAATAACTCGTCATCTTACCCACAAGTGTCATCTTTCTTTCTAAAAATCGTAAAGTCAAATTTATTATTCATAACAAATATTTTCTGTAAGTAATTTATACGTAAAAGATATTAGTTTCGAACAAAAAATACAACAGTTATCCAATACTTACCAAAAACCTTTAAAACCTTATTTTCGAAAACAATAATATTGTTAGCACTAACACAATATCAGTACCAACACTTGTATCATACTAAACTCTGGCCGCTAACATATTTGTAGTCAAAGGCGAGAAACCTTAGAATATCTGTTCGGTCCTGACTGAAGACAGTGTTGCCAGAGTTGTACGTTGGAAAAATATCGGGAATTCGTCATCTTACCCGATTCGTCATCTTACCCCACTTTACCCTATACATCGAATTTGGACGGTCAATAAAAGTTCGACCGAACTTTTCTCGATGATGCCTTGCGCGCACACTACACGATATTTATTCGATGACGTTTTTTAATCCACAAAGGTTTGTTAGGTGGAGTACACAAAATCATAATGAGCAACACAGAACCGCGTAGCAAGACGGAGCGACGTACCTTGAGCAGTGTCAAAAAAACGCAACTGGTGCTCTGGTCGGTCGATAAAGATCGATGTGTGTGCGCGCGTTCATTTGATACTATATGCCTTGGAACGACGGCAACGACCACGGCAGCCGTGAATGCAGTGACATTCATCGATCGCCACACGACATCGATGCCGTGCCGTTTGACGATCGATGTGTATTTGAAAAATGTGGCATAGTTCCTATAATATATGATAACAGAAATTTCCGTGCAAGATTCTATCTCTCTTCAAGAAGCTGAAAATCAAGAACTGGGTGTTCAATACCAAGAAGAAACTTCTGCTGTGGTGCCAGGAAAAGATTTGGCAGATTCGCAATAAAATATTCCTCGACGTCAAAAGATACCACTTGCAAGTAAAGGGAATCCGCCTTTTGAAGAGATAGATTTCCAAACAGCAACCTCTGCATTTAGCGCTTCAGTTTCTATGTTTTTCAATGACCACAGACAAATTGTCATTGTAGGATCTGGAGATTCAAACTCTACATTACGTTCTAATCTCTAAAGACTCGCAAAAGCCAAGTACTTTAACATTCCAGCCCAGTCCACTGCTTTATTTCAGTACTTCATGTAATTTAATCACCAACTCCAAGGGTAAGAGGCACTATATTTTGGCTGTAAGCTCACAGGATATTGTTCCAATCCCTTAAGCAAGTATTATCAAACGACAAAATAAGCGAAAAAAAGCAACAGCTGCAGTATTGACTTTAAGTCCTTTTAAGATCGAACTAGTAGCCACAAAAGCAGAAAAAGAAGAAAAGAAAAGGCTTAAGAAAAAAAAGCTTGAACTGAAAAAAGGAAAGAAGAGGAATAAAGGAAGCAAAGAAAAATTTAAAAGAAAGCAGAAAACGAAATCAAAATCACTAAACAGTAACGTGAGTGATACTAATTACCTTTTCTGTGGGAACTTATATTCCAAGTCAAGGAAAAATGAAGGATATAAAGTGTTCGGGCTGTTTACGATGGGCACATGAAGCTCGTGCTGGGTGCGAAGAAGAAGACAATGTGTGCCAATAATTTAAAAGCAGAATGTAAGATAGATTAGTATTAACCCTCGAGCGGGCGCGCCCGTGTATTTTGTACACGTCCAATAGAAAAAGTCGTCTAAAAATAGAAGTGTCGTCAATCTGGCGATATCGTCGCGTCTATTCGTCCAGTAGAGATCTGTCGTTCGAATAGTTGAGTAATATTTTTGGTTGCAGCTGAGTTTTGTGAGAATTTTTAGAAATACGAGAGTATGACGGTTTTGTGTACATAATACATGGCGCGCCTTCCAGTGTAAGTATTTTATCCATTAATTATTTTACTTTATAAAAAGTTGTAATTCGAAATTAAAGTCAAATTAACTTTAGTTTTACTTTATTTTAGGTTAAACAGGATATTGTAACATAATTGAGAAGAAATATAACGGCTACGCTGAGAGAATATCATGTAAGAATTTAGTTGCATTGTTATATTATTTGTGTGTTACTTTTTTTATTTTTGCAGGGCTAGAAAGAAGTTTTTAACTGAGGTTGAGTTATATAAAATTCTTAATGAAGACCCAGAAACAGAAACTAGTAAAATAGAATATTCCGATGAATCTGAGACAGATGAAGAAATAATACACCATGATGACCACAATACTGAATCTGAACAAGAACAGAATGACCACGACAGAGCCAGTAACTTTGAGGATAATACTGCAGTAAGTACGACTGCTTTCGAATATTTTCAAGGTAAAGATAAAAAAACTGCATGGCGCAAGACTCCGCTGTCGTCGCAATCAAAAATTAAAAAGAAAAATATTATCAAATACTTCCAGAACCAAAGGCAGTGGCTTCAAAAGTGACCTCAGAACTTTCAGCTTTTGAAAAAATTATAGATTCTGATATATTAGAGAGCATCGTACAATTTACTAATTTGTACATTGATAGTAAAAAAGAATCTGTTCAATATAAAAGAGAACGAGATATGAAATATACTTCAAAAAGTGAAATAATGGCGTTACTGGGAGTGCTTTACCTCCTAGGCACTAAAAAGGCTAACCATACTAACGCACTTGAACTTTGGACATCTGATGGAACAGGTATAGAAATTCTTAGAGCTGTAATGAGTTACAAAAGATTTTTATTTTTGTTACGTTCAATGCGCTTCGATGACAAAACCACAACACATGAACGGAAAATATATGACAAACTTGCACCAATTAGAAAAATATTGGACGCATTTGTTAGTAACTGTAAAAATTCCTATTATCTTGGTGAATTTGTTACAATAGACGAAAAACTAGAGGGATTCAGAGGACGTTGTAGTTTTATCCAGTATTTACCAAATAAACCAGCAAAATACGGTATCAAGCTGTTCATTTTGGGCGATGCACAAACTTACTTTGTTGGAAATTAAGAGGTTTATTGTGGACGACAACCTGAGGGGCCTTATGCTGTATCAAACTCTCCCAGTGATATTGTAGATAGGCTTATTGATTATATAAAAGGTTCAAATCACAACTTGACAACCGATAATTGGTATACCAGTTAACCTTTAGCTATTTCCCTTTTGGAAAATAAAATAACTACAATTAGCACTTTGGGAAAAAACAAAAGCGAAATACCTATTGAGTTTTTACCCCAAAAACAAAAAGAAGTGGGAACGTCACTCTTTGGATTCCAGAAAATGTCACTTTGGTTTCATTTGTTCCAAAAAAAAGTAAGTCGGTCATATTTTTATCCACGATGCATGACACTGCCACCGTAGACGTCGAAACTAAAAAGCCAGAAATTATTCTAGATTATAATGCCACAAAAGGCGGTGTGGATACTATTGACCAAATGTGTGCATCATATTCTTTACAAAGAATAACCAGAAGATGGCCGCTAATTATATTTTTTTCTCTAATGGATATGGCGGGTATCAACGCGCAGGTGTTGTTTTGTGCCAATCAAACAAATTCCAAAATACGTTGCCGAATTTTTCTAAAGAATTTAAGCTTGAGTTTAATGAAAGTACATCTTTCAGAAAGAGCTACAATGCGATATCTTTCTCAGGATATTCAAGGTTTTCTAATGAAATATAAATCATGTGAAGAACCTACTAGAACAGAAGTGCAAAGCTCTAGAAAACGTGGACCTTGTGCAATATGTCCAGGCTTAAAAAATTCCAGCACAACAGTTAGATGTGGGCTATGTAGAATATTTGTATGTAAAATGCATTCAGAAACCACAATTACCTGCGTAAAATGTAAGAACAATGAACGGCAGCAATCAGAAGAAATCGAGTGAAGTAACCCATAGGTACATGTTTTATGTTTATTATTTTATGTATTAATAAACTATTTTTGTAAATCGTGGTTGTCACTTTGTTAAAACGTACTAAATTTGGTAAAATCAACTAAAATGTGTTTTGTGTACAAAATACACAGCGCGCCCGGTTATGAAACGGTAGTCGGCGCGCCTGCTGTAGGGTTAACAAAAATATATATTTTTTATTTTACAAAATAGTCGCATCAACCTCTGAGGTTATTAGCGACTAACAAAAATATTAATAATTTAATTTATAATCACTTTTCAACTGCAACATGGACGTAAAGGTATTTATATACTTACACTTTCATGCCGTTTCTTAGCCAGTTCCTTTGCTAAACCTGATATGTTCTTTTGTGAATAACTATTCGGCAAATGATGGTATCTTACTACAGGAAGAAACGAAGCTAGTTGCAACCATCTTATATAAAGCTCTGGATCTTCTAAAACGTTTTCTGTTTCATTTGTAACCAACATCGTTTCAGGCACAGCATAGTCTCCTCCAACGGCTCCAGGAATTAAAAATGGGTACCCCAGAATACCGTACGTGAGAATTGTTGGAATTATTTTTCGCAAGCCATCCCATGAAAACTCAAATTCTGGAAGCACTACAAAACTAGGAGATCTCGGTCTTTCAATGGCACTGTTAACGCCAAAAAGGGGCACTTCTCCTTGGAGATTGTTGGTAAATATTGTTTTATATTCATCTGGGTTAAGTAGGGCTTTTTCACATTGGTAATAGTGTGGCATATTATATGCAACTCCTAGATCTAAGTAAAACGAATCTATTTTGTACGTGTTCATAACTTTTTTTAATTTATGCAGCAACCACGAAATTGTTTGGTCATTCGTTATATCTAAAACGCCAGCACTTTGAAGACTTTTGTATCTAGTTAGAGCTGGTATTCTTTTATCACTAAATCTTTCAGATACTAATAATTTCTTCCTTACTACTTCTGCAAAATTGAAACTTTCTGTCGATATAAACGGCTGTATGGTGAAAACTACTCTAAAACCTCTTCTTTTAAGTTTTTCTATCAGTTTATCGAAATCTGGAAATCTTGATTGATCCAATTCAAAGTCTCCGATTTGTTCTTGCCAAAATTCATTAATGAGAATATGACCCTGCTTTAGTACAGCAACAGAGTTCGTAATCTTTGTAGTTATGTTGTCTATAACATCTACAAGTGAATATTAGAAATTAGTATACATACACAGTAAGAAGCATTTAGATTAGAAACATTCCTGAAATTTTTTTTAACGATCTTAATAATTTTTTTTTAATTTCAAATAATAGAAATTTTAATTTTAGATATAAAATGTTTATTAAAATTATCAGTACATACTACGATATTTTTTGGCGGTTAAAAATGTGGAATCTGTACGGGCGATTTATTTATTAAAACATTTACTACGCCACTGGAATCAGATTGTCCCCAAATACAGCTTGTTTCAAATGCACATTGGAGCAGTACCACAATAGTATATTACTTTATGGGGCGGAGAAGCATGACTTTTCTTGACGCGCCCGATATTACGCGCCGAACGAAGTGAGGCGCGTAATAGAGGGCAAGTCAAGAAAAGTCGCTTCTTTGCCGAATAAAGTATACTATTTTTATTTCAAACGTAGCAATTTTCAACCATAAATAGTACAATTCATACGCTATTTTTACTCGAAATTAACTGTGACAACTATCAAAGTTGTCTAGATGTTAGAAATTAAAATAATTAAGTCGTCGGTAAGATTTGCGTCTCCCGAATCTACGACAAAAGGACGCGGAAAACAGGACGTGAGACCAAAGGACGCGGAAAAAAGAACGCGCGAAAAAAGGTCCCGAAAAAAAAGGACGCGTGGAAAAAAGGACGCATATTATTAATAAATTACTATAAATAGTTTATTTTAATTGACATTAGCCATTACCCCCTTTTTATCCCCATATGTTATTACAGAAAATGATTCTACCTAACCTAAAATCGGTTACGGTAAGAGTAAAAAGTGAAAAATAATTATATGAAAAAAACTTGCCCTCACATTTTATCGAGGCTTAGGACTAAAATATCTTAAGGCTTATCCTCGATAATTCTAACGGTAAATTTCAGTTTGCTATCTCTATTTCAAAAATTTCTTTCTTTACGAAAACAAAATCTGTTCATGAAGTAATATTCTAAACTTCGTTTAGATCTCTTTCAAGCCCAGGTCAAAAATGCGTTTACCTTTTACTCGAGCCGATTATACACCGAGATAAGACCATAAATCTCTTTAGTGGTATTTTGAGTAAATATAATAACAGACCAAAGTAATATAATCTATTCATAAATTTACAATGTAACAAATGTACATACATAATTTATTTGTTATTTTTTTTACGGAAAAATTGACTGAAGTTTAACGTAGATTAAAGTTTACGGAAAATAAAAATTGTAAAAAAAAGATTATATCATATATATATCATAAAAATTTGATTAGTATCACGATCATTAAAATTAATAAAATGAAACAATATAAATATAGAATTATGTCTAATGTTTCTTCAGAAGGTGTTTCAAATAAAAATTATAATAAAAATCTTATCTAATTAGTATCACGATCATTAAAATTGATAAAATGAAACTATATAAATATAGAATTATGTCTAATGTGTCTTTAGAAGGTGTTTCAAATAAAAATTATAATAAAAATCTTGAAATTTTTGTAGCATATTTTCCCACAGTTCCATATATTTATCAATCTTTTCGAATAAAATATTTTTTGGGGTCCATACCGCAAACTAACAGTATTCTCTATTCGATATAAATAACAAAATAACTGTCCTTGCACTTGATAGTAATCAGTTCTTTTTAAAATTTCTTGAAGGAAGGAATAATTTAGTCACGTTATCATTTCCAATTTTGATTTTTGATATTGAATTTGATAGGTTGTGATTTATTACACCAAAATCTAATAAAATATACCATGACACAAGAAATAGTTTCAGAATAAGTTTGATGTGTTGTTTATTATCATTCAGTAAGAGACTAATTTACTTCTTACAATGCTAATCTAACAGACAATTATTATTGTCAAATGAAAGAAATAAGATAATTTACTTGTGTGCTTGTGGTTAGTAAACGTCGGCCCTATGCAACTAATTGTCAACAAAGAACGGAGTACAAAAGTTTAGATTTATGAGATTTATGAGGAGCATTTATGAAACTTAGATGTATACTGAGTACTTATTTCAAAAATTTACAACTAAGGATTTGATTTGTTATATGTAAATATACTCCTAGATCTAGAGAAAATGGGAGTGCGACAATGGGAATTACTGGCACAGGACCGACAAACATGGAAATCAATAGTAACCGCGGCAAAGACTTACGAAGAGTTGTTGCGTTATTGATGATGATGATGATGATGATGATGAAATATACTGTATAACTATTTATGTGGATGTGAAATATGGATCATGAAGGATAATATGATGGACATTTTGGCATTTTAGGATGTACGTTGAAAAATTAAGGCAAATATCGAGCACAAATTTAATAATCAAATCTTGCCCAAGTACTTTCGCTTTCTACAGCATCATCAGGGGAATCTGAAATAAGCCAAGAAAAGTTTTTTTAAATGAAGAAAATTAATAAACTTCGATAAAAAACTCGAAGTTAATGGATGATAAAAGTTTTTTGTGATTAACATTTTAGACTTACTTCGTCAAATTTGGTCTATCCAGCAAGCGCAGATGCCCCTGATGATGCTGTAGAAAGCGAAAGTACTTGGGTAAGATTTGATTATTAAATTTGTGCTCGAAATTTGCCTTCATTTTTTAAAATTCATTTATTCGAGCATTCAACGATATTTTATTAGTTTAAAATTGCTTGTTCGGTTTGGATTTGTAGGTTCTTCCTAGTCACCATTTGAACTACATTTTTGAAAATTCGTAGAGGGTCCTGTAAAAATACAATGTTTGTGCAAATTTTTTAACAAAAAATACAAATCCCATTCCTTAACTCTACGCTGTTTCTATATAATAAATTATTATTATATAAGCAAATACTGAAACAATTGTATTATTATAAAAACAGTATAAATATTTAGAAAGAAAATGGAAAATCAACAGAAAATATTTCTATTCATATAAAAATTTAATAAAATTATAGGTACTTACTGCTTATTTATATAACATTTCCTATTTTAAATACAATAAACACACTGGTTTGTCAAAAGTCGGAATAAGCCCTAATAATGTTATTCAACTTTATTTATCCTCCTCCGAGGGTTTTATCTACCTGGCGAGAATCCAGAAACTACCGACAAGGACACCCTGTGCTGACGGAGAGAAAATTGCGTTTAGCAAAAATTTTAATTTTTTTAAAAGTTTATATCAAATAGCTGCTTTGTGTTACACTTTATGTTAAAAATAAAAACAGATTCGGAAAGTGGGTCAAATTCTGTAGTGCCCTATTTAAAAAAAAATTTTTTTCGTTTATTTTAACCAAAAATATTTGAAAAAAAAATATTGTTTAAACAATATATTAATTTACAACCAAATAGTGCACTAGAACTTTTTTAGACCTTCCATATAAAAAAAGAATCATCTCAATATCTGCCATAGTTTTTGCGTTATTTGATATAAACTTTTACATTGGAATTTACCTATGCCCAGAATCGCGAGGATCGGCCTTAAGTAAAATAATAAATACTAATATAATGTTGATTCAAAATTTCTGGTATTGAAACAGGTTAGATTCCATATTATCAGAATTATGTATGGGATTAGAAAAACCTAAGTACACGCCAGCTTCTGCTGCCAGTCCTAAGCCTGGATAAAGTGTGAAGGCAAGTTTTTTTCATATAAATATTTTTCACTTTTTACTTTTACCGTAACCGATTTTAGGTTAGGTGGAATCATTTTCTGTAATTATATATAGGGGATAAACGGGGGTAATTCCTATTGTCAATTAAAATAAACTATTTATAGTATTTCATTAATAATATGCGTCCTTTTTTCCACGCGTCCTTTTTTCCACGCGTCCTTTTTTTCGCGCGTCCTTTTTTCCGCGTCCTTTTTTATGCGTCCTTTTTTCCGCGTCCTTTTGTCGGTATACCGCGTCTCCCTGGTTACAGTTGTTTGACAGTTGTTTGCAAATCATCAACAATTAGCAATGCGTATCAAGAGTCGGGAACATTTTTGCACGGTTTCAAGTTTGAAAATGCCTCGTTAACTAATTGTGCTTTTAATATTACTATAAATGAAAATGATGTTTAATTATTGTTAATGACATTTGTATTGTTGCTTTGTGACATGTTTCATATTGTTGCCATGACAACATTTTTGCCTCCGCCGTAAATAAATGGGAAAAAACTGCTGCCGGCGGAGATATCAAACTTTTACAGGATCAAGTTAGATAAGTAATGTCATCATTATTTGACGTTTGAAGAAAAAATATTTTTTCCGGGAACTTTTCCTTCAATAAATCAATGGTTGGGGCAGTAATGTGACATATGGCACCGTCCTGTTAGAAAAATATGCCTTCCAAATCCATTTTATCCAACTGAGGTCACAAAAAATCCGTTATCATCGTTCGATACTTTCACCTTTGACTGTTACATCATGTTCGAAAAAATAAGGTCCGATGATGCCACCATGCCATAAACCACACCAGACAGTGACTTTTTTGGATGCAAAGGCGTCTCAAATCTCATGTGGATTAATTTCACCCCAAAAACGACAATTTTGCTTATTCACAAAGTCGTTTAACCAAAAATGAGCTTCATCGCAGAAGATTATTTTTTTTGAAAAATATCATCACCATCATTTTTGAGTTTGTCTAGAGCCCAATCAGCGAACAAACGACGCTTATGATGGTCAAGTGGCTTCAGTTCTTGAGTCAGAACAATCTTGTAAGGGTGTAGGCCTAAATCTTTTTTTAGAATTCGCCAAGTTGTCATTCTGGTGAGTCCAAGTTCTTAAAAACGACGATTTACGGACACATTTACATTATCCGCTACACTAGCTCTTACAGCAGCAATATTGTCCTGAGTTTTTGCATTTCGGCGTTTAGTTGGTGGTTTCGTATCGTGCAGAGTAAATTCACGTTCAAACTTTTCCACGATTCGACGAATTACACGCACATCAGGACGATCATTTGGTCCATAACTTTCACGTAATGCACGATAGGTATTCACAAAAGAACGATTATTAGCATTAAATTTTAGGATAATTTCCAAACGTTGTTCAAGCGTATATCTTGCCATGTAAATTTTTTAGAGTATACTAAACACAAACGTCAACAAGTGACAGTTCTACCAATTTCAAAATGACCGTTATGACATTTCAAAAACAGGACGTTCCTATTGGGAAACCCTTTACATCTACAAACTAAATGGAAGATGCAAACAATTTCTAATTTATATTATTAGCATAAGCTGTAATGTTGCATAAAAATTACTTAAACTATCATTAGTGAAGCCTTATCAGTAATTCCACGTAATCGTTCAAAGAAGGTATTCTTTTTGTGTCAGGCGATAACTTGTATAGAAAACTATAATCACCTTTAAATTACTGTTTACATTAATTTATTTCGTGAAACATTGAATTCTCTCGTTAATCACAAGTGTATAATTAACAATAATCGTGTGGCATATATACCGACGTTTTTTACGCACAAAAAAGGTATAGTGAGATTAGTGGACACTTATTTTACAGAAATTTTTTTAAAAGATAATAAATTGTTGACGGCATCTTAAAATATTAATTTTTTTTATTAATTTCAAAACAAGTATAGAGTGACGCCTATGGTTTTTTGACCTTATGAGGATTTGCATACATAATGTGCTATCAATATGATGGAAAAGGACTATAAAAATATACATTATCCGCGAATGAAAACAGCTACAGAAAATTTCACTGTTATGTGATAATCATGAGACGCATATATCAATACGGGCAACAGATTATGAATGCGAAAATGCGATCATATCCTTTCCGCCACATATTTCACAGAGGCTTCAACCTCTTGAAATGGTAGTATTTGGTCATTTTAAAAACAAACTTAAAGTATGTTTTAACGACTGGCACGTAAATAATTCTGGAAAAGCACTTAAAATATATAGCATACCTAAACTAGTCCAGCAGGCTTAGAATGAATTCAGTCTTCTATATGAATTTATTCACATAAAAAATATAATAAGTGGTTTTAGTAAATCATTAATTTTTACATTTACTGCTGGCATTTACAGATGGCAATTTTATTTATTGTTTTATTTTATGTCACAGTTTCGAAAACAAGGTACAAAATGTTGTAGAAAGTCTCAGATCAATAAATTAACATCTAAAGAATCATTAACTATCTTGACTCCCGAAATGGAGTCCGTCCACTTTCTAAATTAAAGTTTAAGAATAATAAAAAAGAAACTGAAAAGAGATTGGAAAATCAAGAATTTATACAAATGCACCAGAGACGCAAAGGTTGAAAAAATTAGAGGTAATAAAGGAACAGAAGAGTATTTTAAAGATACGACGTGAAAAGGCAAGAGAATTAAAAATAAGCAAAACGGCTTGTTAAACTAAATCCTAATTTTTTTAGTCAAAACCAAAAAAATTGACAAACTACGAAAATGGTAAGAATCGAATCTTCAAGCGATTCAGAACCTGAAAATTTTGAAATTATGAATACGTCATTAGATGAAGATAGTTTTGAGCTGAAAAATGGAAGTCCCAATCTACAAAATTTTAAGAAACCTGTAATTGAAGATATATTTGATGGTGACTTATTACTCATAAAATTTGAAAAGAAGCAGTCTGTAGTGTAATACATAGGAAAAGTATTAAATGAGGAATGAGAAAAAGTTCAACACAAATATTTTCGTATTTAATTGTATTCATAAATTTTTCTGATGTAGGATTGAAGTTACCCTAGCCAAATCCATTAAAGGGAACCAAGAGGACTGCTTCTTTGCTAACCTTTCCCCTTGTTGTATCTTTATAATGTCTTTTAGTAGTTTTGATCTTTTTAAATGTTAAGTTTGTTAGTATTAACATGTTCTTATACCAAAAAATATAATTTTATAACATAAATTTGTTTATTTTTATTTAAATCAATGTAATTTTAGATTTAAATCAACGAGATCTTAAGCCTATCAATCTGCTCCAGAGATTATCCGAAAGTACCTCTAAGGTAGAGTGGTTTGATACAACTGCTACACTTTTTATAAAATTGTTGAACTTCCTTTGTTATACTATTTATTTAAAATTAAATCAAAAATGTGTATCAACCTCCCCCACTTTCCCCTACATCTAATAATTTTTTCGTTGTATATAAAATCGATCTCAATTTTAGTGGTTCCCAACCAGTGATTAGTAATATTAATTTAGTAATGTTTACCTTGAGTTAATGCTTCTTTCATATCAGGCATTTCCCAAACTGGTTCCGTCAGAAAGTAATCAATAATGTTGCTATCTTCTTTTTTTAGACCATCCCAGAGGGTATGTTCACTCAGAAAAACATGTAATTGAGACATATTGGCACTGGTACATATACTGTAGTTTAACTGAGCAGTGCTTGTGAATTTATTTACATAAGCAAAATGATCGTATTGAGCCCTGAGACAAAATTCTTTCTTTGGTGAATCTCGAATTGAGATATATAAAGGTGTTTCGTTATCGATCACTATAGCTGCCCCTGCAAAAATAATAAAAAAATAATAAAATAAAACCACACGATTGAATATCGCAACTCTAAATAAAAGGTCTTTAAGCAAAGATGAAAAGTCTACGAACTCGAAGAAGACATCAAGGACTTAAAATGGGACACTAAAGTCCGGTAACGTCTTACATTACAAAGCTCGAGAAGAACAAAGCCTAGATGGCGTAGGATTTTCAAGAAATGTGCACATAAAGTAGAGAAATTCGTAGGAATATCTGAAAGAATTGCAATGATTAGGCTAAAGGTAAACGAAAACGTCTCCCTGAAAATTATTCAAGAATACACTCCAACCGCAGCATATCCCGATGAAGAGATAGACGAATTTTATGAGAAAATTGCAGAAACTAGCGCGAATTATCACAGCACATACATGATACTATTGATCGATTCAGAGTTTCTCCATCCAAAACTGCTCGGTTAAACGCCATTTAAGATCATTTTAGAACTTATATATCTTAAGTATAAATATAAAATGCAATTAAAGAAATGAAAAGAAATAAAGCACCGGGTAATGATATAATTCTGGCAGAAATGTTGAAAAAAGGCGGAGAAGAAGTCATCAGGTACCTAAAAACACTTTTTAAGAAATGCCTATTTGAAGGAAACATACCAAAGGAATGGAATACTGCTAACACAATATTAATACACAAAAAAGGGGACTATACAGATCTGAAAAATTATCGTCCAATATCACTACTATCACAACTTCACATTCAAACATTCACAAAAATAATTACAAATAGATTGACAACAAAGTTCGATGTATATCAATCAGTAGAGCAAGTCGGATTTAGAAAAGGGTTCAGTACACGTGACCATCTTCACACACTAAAGGTCCTAATAGAAAAAGTTAACGAATACAATTTACCAATCTGTTTAGCATTTATAGACTACGAGAAAGCTTTTGACAGCATAGAATTATGGGCTATTGAGGAAGCACTGGTCAACAGCAGAATAGATTCTAGATATAGGATATTAATACATAATATATATCAACACGCTGAAATGGTAGTCACGATGGATAACGGAATGAAAACGAGGCCAATAAAAATCAACCGAATAGTAAGACAGGGAGACACCATATCTCCAAAACTATTTAATGCCGCACTTGAAGACATCTTTAAATCACTAAATTGGGAAACGAAGGGACTATCGATAAACGGAAAATATTTAAACCATCTAAGATATGCAGATGACGTAGTACTAATAGCCGACAGCTGGGAAGAACTGAAGACGATGATCGATGAGCTTCATACGAAATCTATAAAAAAAGGACTGAAAATGAATCTGAGTAAAACTAAGCTAATGTCGAATAAAGATGATCAACCGACGATAACCATCCAAGGAATAAAAGTGGAACATGTAGAAGAATACATATATCTGGGTCAGAATATCAAGGTAAACAAAGAAAACCAAACTATCGAAATAAGCAGACGAGTAAGAATTAGATGGGCCGCATTTGGAAAACTCTTATATATACTGAAAGACAAAAAGATACCAAAAAACCTTCGAATAAAAGTCTTCGATTCTTATATCCTTCCCATTCTCATTTACGGAGCTCAAACCTGGACATTCACAAAAAAGAACATGGACAAGATTCGAAAAACTCAGCGAGCCATGGAACGACAGATGCATGGTATCTCACTAATAGATCGGCAAACGAATGAAGCAATCCAAAACAAAACAAAAATAAAGGACGCCGCGAAACAAGCAGCTAAATTAAAATGGAAATGGGCTGGACACAACGAACGTCTCGAAGATGGTAGATGAAACAAAGAAGTCGGAAACTGGCGACCGTACGAGGCGAAGAGACCAAGAGGAAGACCTCAAATGCGCTGGAGCGACGATATCAAAAGAGTCGCAGGACCAATATGGAAACGCCTAGCACACAACAGGGATGAATGGCGAGAAATGGGATAGGCCTTTATTCGACAATTCAAATAGAAAAAGGGCTATAAAAAAATATCTTTAGTATTTTCTTGACTTAAGTTGTTTTAAAAACCTATACGTTTTCTTGTGATTTGTTTAAATATTTGCCTTTAGCAAACTTTCTTTCAACAAAAGTTTTGAAATGGCTAGACGTCTTGACAAGCGATTTATTTGATTCTGTTTTATATTGACCAAAATTATATTCTACAGACTACTTTGTGTGCATTAATCTTATAAGAGACTAAGCACAAAAGTCTCTGAGGTCTGAGTTTGCATGCAAGAGCGTACATTACGTGATTATCATGTGATAATCTGTCTTGGTTTTTAAATCTAATAGTAAATTTAAATTTTATAAAAAATATGAAAACTTACCTTTCGAATTAATGAAATATCTCTTCAAAACATTTCCCCATTCGTGTGTTTCTATATTTCCAGTAATAAATGGTTGATAAAAATGGCTACCTTTTTCTAAAGGCCAAGCATTTTCTGCTGTTTGTCCACCACCGTACCAGTGTGAGTTTGACATGTCAAAACAATCTGTTGGAGCCAGGCTTTCTGATAAAGATATCCATTGCACGTTGTAACACTTTACATCTGAACCAAGATCGAAGAAATTCATATATAGTCTTGCCCTATTGAGAAAGTATGATTATTATCAATAAACTGGTAAAATGTGTGTTTCTTATTTAATTATTGTTAATATAAAAAGTAATTTATATATAAATTAGACAAATTTTCGTTTTTTCCTTGCTAATCTTAATTAATGTTATCACACCCTAGTAGTTCCGGGAAAATATTTTCTTACTATCTTTACGCACTGTCTATTCTGTTTTAATAAGGTTGTGAAAATTTGGTTGTGGTATCTCATATAGTAACTATCGTTGTCCATTATGGATACTAAATCCTTGAAATAAACTTAACCAATTATTGAAAGTACTTTTCCAGTGCGTCGGAGTTTTTCTCTTTATGGTAAAAATTGTTTCTTGCCGGTCCCAAGCCCGGATAAAGGAGGAGGGTTAAGCGGAAGGCCAACAACCTGCCCTTGTAAAAAATAGCCTGTTATGAAAACTGCAAATGTGCCTCGGAATCGAACAGATACATGTATAAAACGACAATCGCAATGGACAAGGACTTTGAATGTTAGAACGTGGAACGTTTTAAGCTGGTACCGGACAGGAGCAGCCATACACGCAGTAAAATAGTTAGAAAAAGTAGGAATGGACATTACGGCAATACAAGAAATAAGGTGGCCCGACAATGGAAACATAAGAATAGACAAGGCGGTCATTTTCTGCAGTGGAAACCAGACAGGAAAACATGAATTCGGCAAAGATTTCGTGGTCCGAGAAGAATACTTAAACAGTGTCATAAGTTCTACGCCCATCAGTGAGAGACTGTGTTATATTAGACTAAAAGGAAAATTGTACAATATCTCAATTATATCCGCACATGCTCCGACAGAAGATAAAGAAGAAACAATCAAAGATGACTTCTATGAGCAACTCGAAAGAACGCTGGAGAGAATTCCCAAACAAGACATGCAAATAATCTGCGGAGACTTCAACGCAAAAATTGGTAAAAAACTTAACCTAAGACCGACAATAGGACAACACAGTCTCCACAATATCTCAAACGATAATGGACAAAGGCTCGTAGAGCTAGCATCGGCTAACAATATGCTTGTAAAGTCCACTATGTTCCAACAGAAAAACATTCATAAACAGACTTGGGTCTCTAATGACAACTCCACACGAAACCAAATTGACCACATAATTGTTGATACTAGACACGGAAGTAATGCCCTTGACGTAAGAAGCCTCAGGGGCGTAGATGGAGATACAGACCATTACCTAGTAAGAGCAAAAATCAGGTTGAGAATACCATCACAGAAACTTAAAACGAACCAAGCATTGGGACGGTGGAACATTGAGAAAACGCAAAATAAGGAAATCCGAGACAATTACGTACAGGAAATGGAACAACATCTAAATAGCATAGACCAGAGCAATGATGTCGAAAGGCTGTGGCAACAAATGGAAAAATCAATTACAGAGTCAGCAGAACTAATAATAGGAAAAAGAAGGACGAAAACAAGGAAATGGTTTGATAAAGAATGCAAAAAAAACTACAAGACAGACAGAAAAAGCGAAACATTATGCTTCAACAAGAAACAACAGAAAGTAAAGAAAACTATACAACATCACGACGAGAAACAAGAAAACTAATTAGAGAGAAAAAAAGAAAATACGAACAACAGCAGTATGAAGAAATGGAAAGAAATAGACAACAGTCAAATAGTCGAGCATTTTACAAATCTGTGTGTCAAACGAAAAGAGAGGATTCAGACCTAACTGCATGTCTGTACTGAGGAAAAATAATGATGAATAAATAATCAACGAACAAGAATTACTCCAAACATGGCACGAATATTTCAAAAATTTACTTAATATACACCAAGATGAAGAACATGGAGAGGGTATATACCTTGGGGTGGACCTACCGGTAGAGTACCCAAAAATAGACGAAACATTGCAGGCAATTAACAAATTGAAGAACGCAAAAGCACCAGGCTCTGACAATATACCAGCCGAATTTCTTGAGTACGGAGGAGAAACTTTACATAGACAATTACACAAACTAATATCACTTATATGGAACGAAGAGAAAATACCAACAACATGGCACCAAAGTGTAATAATTCCTATCCATAAAAAGGGAGACAAAACCAAGTGCAAAAACTATAGAGGCATCTCCCTACTTAATACGGCGTACAAAATCTTATCGAACATCCTATTAAGTAGACTAACACCTTTTGTAGAAAATTTCATAGGGGAATACCAGGCCGGATTCAGAAAAAATAGATCGACCATAGATCAGATTTTTACTCTCAGGCAGCTACTTGAAAAAGGATGGGAATTCAATAGAACCATTCATAATCTCTTAATAAATTTCCGACAAGCATACGACAGCATTAAAAGGGATTAGATGTGGAATGCAATGGCAGAACTTTCAGTTCCAAAAAAACTTATCCAGCTCGTTAAAGTTTGTGTAAATGGCTGTAGATCTAGAGTGCGGATAGGTAACAAGCTCTCAGAGTCGTTTAAAATAAACAGTGGACTGAAACAAGGAGACGCGCTGTCACCTCTTCTTTTTAATATAATCCTTGAAAAAGTAGTAAGAACCGCACAAATTAGAACAGAACTACTGACAGTAAATAGACCAAAATTACTACTAGCATACGCGGATGACATTGACATTGTAGGAAATACCGTCACCAATGTAAAAGAAACCTTCAATAAATTAGAGAGAGAGGCAAAAAATACCGGCCTAAGAGTCAATGAAGAGAAAACCAAATATATGTGCATTAACAGACAAAAGAGACGAGATAGAATAGGACAAAATGTAAAAATAGACCCCTATAACTTTGAAAGAGTGGAGAGTTTTAAATATCTTGGAGCGACTATCACCACAGATAACGATATCATGGAAGAGATAAAAGGGAGAATTCAGGCAGCAAACAGATGTATGTATAGCCTCCACAACACTATTAAATCCAAGAGCCTAACACGAACATCAAAAATCAGGATATATAAAACAGTAATTAGCCGGTGCTCATGTATTGGTGTGAGACGTGGACGCTGACAAAAGCAATGGAAAGTAAACTCAGATGCTTTGAGAGAAAAATCCCCAGAAAGATCTTCGGTCCCTATCACGATCCGAATACTAACCAATACCGAATGAGAACAAATGCCGAGGTCAAACAAATGTATAGTGCTAGCGACGTAGTCCAAGAGATTAAATCCCAACGTCTAAGATGGGCTGGGCTGGCCATGTTCATAGGCTCCCGAATTACCGCCTTACCAAGTTAATCTGGGAAGAAGTCCCGACAGGGAGAAGGCCCTTAGGACGTCCACGAATGCGATGGAGAGATAATATATGGTCAGATTTGAGAACAATGGCTACCCACTGACTTAAACCTCATGGACGACCGTTCGAGATGGAAGCAGGTTGTGCAGTCAGCCAAGACCCACCCCGGGTTGTAGTGCTACCAGAAGAAGAAGGTAAAAGTTCAACTAGAATAAAAAATTAAGCATCCTTTCACAAAAAATGCATAATTTTTTATCTACTTAATTATAAGTCTTTGATGGCTATTGGTTCACCAACGTTATTTTGGGAGCCAGTGGGACACGGCGTGTTCCACTTGAGCGCAGTTATAATGGCATATTTTTTAGTTCTCATCTTGCTCTCCAAAATGGACCAGATGGAACAGTCCATTGGATTTGCATCTGACGAATTCGAAAACCATTGTGTCGATGAAATGAAGTATGAACGTCCATGGTCTACAACCGAAATACTTGCGTGACCACGGCTCTTAAGCAGCTTCTAAAACATTTTCCCGATAATAAGTTGCATTAACTTTGACACCAGTTTCAATAAAAACGATTTTAGAGCGTCCATCGGCGGTTACCGTTGCCCATACCATTATTGGAGATGGGAAATTACTTCGGGTGGCCGTTTTTAAGCTAAAACTTTCGTTGATGCGTTCGGTCAAGTAAACACGACCATTTTGAGAGTTTATGAACTGCTCAATAGGCAATAGGCGTAACAACTCCTTTGCTCCTTCAAGCCGAACTTATTTTTGCTTTGGTATAAAATTGTGTGCTTTTTGAAACTTGTAAGGCTCTACCTTGAGCTCCTTTTTCAATATTCGTTGCATGCATCACTGGGATATTTTCAGTTCTTTGGCCATTTGATTACCACTACGACGTGAATTTCGCTCAAGTCGAGCCTTCACTTTCCGAATCATTTCAGGTAATGTTGCTGTTTTTTTTCGTCCACCACCATAGCGTTTTCTAATGCTACCAGTATCATTATAACGAGTTATGGTGCGATACATAAACATTTTAGTCACTTTGAGGTGTTTGAGCTGACGAAAAATAGCTGGTTGTGATTTTCCAGCCAAATATACCGCAATCACACCATTACGTTTAAATTCCATTGCGAAACTTTTGTTGTATGTATAAAACTTAAATGCAAATTTTTGACGACTTATGAACAATATACTGAAGTGTTATCAGACCAACTTTGACGTAGCCGTCATTATCGATTTGTCAGATATATCGATGTGAAGTTGGTAAAAGTTCAATTGCGTAACCCTGTAAGTACTTTTTAAATTGTATTTGTAAATCATAAACTTTCTATGCATACGTAATTTATGTAAATATTTTTCAATTCAGTTGATGACGGTGTAAAACCAGCTTTTAGACACATCTCAATTTTGAAAATAATTTTCTAAAATATTTTTGCCTCTGTCTTTTGTACTCTAGAAATAATAAAGTTTTGTAAATATCTGAATGTAGTGTATGTAAATATTTTTGCAACTATTATAACTTTAGTGAACAATGATAAAGACCGGCTTTTAAATTGAAATCACCTAACAATTGAATAAGTAATGCAAATCGGCAATCAAAGTACGATCCTGTCCAGAGGCAATCCTCCGCTGCCCTGCAGTAGACACTTATCGATAATAAATATTAATGACTCTTTTAGATCTCTGGTAGGACTTTAGATTTCTATAACTCATTTATTTGCTTATATGCAACTAAAATAGTTTTATTTCCAGTTACTACTATTTAAATATTTATTTACTGTAGATATTATTGAACAACTTGTAGGTTTAAAAAAATATAAATATCACGTTCATAAATGTATACCCAGTTTTCGAAATACCTTAAATAAAATACAAGAAAAGTATATAAACGTCAGCTCTTACACTAGCCTTTTTCTAGTTCTTATAACCGACCACATGTGTTGGTTTATTTCCCAGTATTTAGTATTTCTTCTTTGTCAACCATTTTCCATCCACTCCTGAATGTAGGTCTCTCCCAATTGCTTATATCTTTCTCTATCTTGCGCCAATCTAATCCACTGTTTGCCTGCCACTGCTCTTATGTCATCTACCCATCTTTTTGAGGTCTTCCCATGCTTCTTGTTGCCGTCCTTGGTCTCCATTCTAGAATTCTCCGTGTCTACCTGTTGTCATTATATCGGGCTACGTGACCTGCCCAGCGCCATTTCATTTTTGTAATTTTTTCCACAATATCCCTAATCTTCGTTCTACGTCTTATCTCGGTGTTTCTAATCTTGTCTCTTAGTGATATTCCAAGCATGATTCGTTCCATTGCTCTTTGCGTTGATTCTATTTTTTTGGCAGATTTTTTGGTAAGTGCTACGTCTCCAAGCCATAGGTACAAACTGGTAGTATGCATGTGTCATACACCTTTTTCTTTAAGCTTCTAGGAATGGAAGTGTTTTTCAAGATATGTGCTAGTTTGCCGAAAGCGCTCCAAGCCAGTTGTGTTCTTCTTTTAATTTCAGCATCTTGATTTGGTTTTCCTAGTTTGATAACACGACCTATATATATATAATGTTCCACATTTTCTATGGTATGATTTTGTATTGTTATATTTGTCTGATCTCGGCTCAGTATTTTTGTTTTCCTGTAGTTCATTTTTAAGCCTAACGCTCCTGAAACTGCATTTAATTGTTGTAACATATCATTTAGTTCTTGGATATTATCGGCTATTAAAACTATGTCATCTGCGAATCTCAAGTAGTTTAAGTATGATCCGTCGACGTTGATACCCTTATTGTTCCATTTCAGTTTCTTAAAAATATTTTCTAGAGCAAGGGTTAATAGTTTGGGAGAGATGGTGTCTCCTTGTCTTACTCCCCGTTGTAGTCTTATGGGATTAGTTTTTGTGCTTTCGTCCAGCTTGATATGCATGGTGGCGTTTTCATATATGTTTTTAATTATGTTAATGTATCTTGAATCTATGCGTGCATTTTCTAGAGATTCAAGCACTGCCCATAATTCGATGGAATCGAATGTTTTATGGAAATCGACGAACGCCATTTGAATTGGAACATTATACTCGGTGCATTTTTCTATCAGTGTTCTTACGGTGTGCAAGTGGTCTATGGTATTAAAATGTTTTCTGAATCCAGCCTGCTCGATAGGTTGATAGAAATCGAGCTTATGTGTTAGGCGGTTGGTTATGATTTTAGTTAGTAATTTATACAAATGTGATAGCAAAGATATTGGTCGGTAATTCTCGATGTTTGCTCTGTTTCCTTTCTTGAATAGTAAAATGACCTCGGAGTTGTACCATTCTTGAGGAATCTTTCCTTCATCAATTACTTTATTAAATAAAACATTTAATACCTGTTCCATTTTTCTGCCACCAATTTTCAATATTTTAACTGTAATCTTATCCTCTCCCGGACATTTATTCGTTTTAAGTTGATTTAGGGCCATTCTTATTTCATAGTCGGTTATGTCCTGTATTTCTTCTGAGCTTCTATATTTTTTTATTAGATTGTTATTATAGTTTCTATGATCGTTCCTAACTTCTTTCTTCACATTTTTGTTTAAACTTTTAAAGCTGTCCGAAGTTCAATCTGTTCTGTTTCGTCTTTCTTGGAGTAGTTTAATTGTAGTAGGTTGGAGTTTATTCTCCTTTTCAGAGCCTTCTTTCAGTGAGTCACAGTTTTTCGATTTATTTCTAACGCATTAAGTTGGATGTGATGAAAAAAGCGGCAGTTCCGTGATTAAAACACGAAAATATTACAGCGTTGCATACATAACCAGTCTATTCTTAACCTACGTTTGATTCGTTGATATTTGAAATGCGCGCTTCCTCTGGCCAATCAGTTACGCGAGTCACGAACATTGGATGTAAAACTTCATTCATTTGGCCATCCTTTCGAAGTGTCGAAGAGTGAAGTGATCTTGTCGATTCAGGTCAGTATTTGACATTATTTCGTAACGTTGTTATGCATTATTTGTGTTTATATTTTTATTTTGTTTCAGTTTTCATTAAAATATTTTTAAAATGCCAAGATTTATGGAAAAGGAACAAGTTCTGATACTTAAAGTACTTAAATATTTTGAATTAGAAAAAGAAGCTGGGCAAACTTTATTACCAATTTCTGCTGTTCGTGAAGTAAGTTTAAAGTTACACTGAAAATAAAATTGTTTTATTTTTACCTACTGTTTATTTCAGCGTATTGCTGAAGCGTTAGGAATTTCTTTGCCAACAGTAAGACGATTGGCAAATGAAGGTGTCCAAAAAGATTCTGATTATTCAATCACAATGAGCCAATAGTAGCCACGAGTCGTAAACCGACATTATTAATAAATAAATACGAACATGCTATCAGGATGTGTGTATACAGAATGTTTAGTAAAGGTAAGAGCATTACAACAGTTTAGTTAAAATATTTTACCATATTTCTGATAGAAAGGCAGGAGTAACTAATTTCCATAGACATTTCTTTTAATAAATTGTTACTGACAACTAGTTACATATTATATAAAATATATAGAAATGAAAAGTGGTTATAAAAAGAATCCTACCTTGTGCAGTTTAGTAAAATATATAGATATATTTTTATAACTTTTATACTTTGGATTATTTAAATATGGTTATTACGATTTATGAAAGGAGTACTGTTGCATATAGCATTTAAATAGACAAATTCCTAATATCAAAACTAACGGGTTACTTTACATTCTTAATATTCTTCCTAGAAGAATCACTATAGTGTCTTTAAACTTTGATCATTTTAGGTGAGCATGGGACTCTCCATACCCTGAAGCAAAAACTAGAGGAAGTGGATGGGATTAACATTTCTATTGCTGCACTTAGCGGAGTTTTAAAGGAATTAAAATTTAGATGGGTAAATTATAGTGCTGCTAACAGAAAATATTTAATGAAACAACCACATGTGACTTTAAAAAGACTTCAGTTCTTAAAAGCCTATAAGGACAATGAAAGCAATGTATACCCTTTAAAACCAGTTTTCTTGGATGAGACCTGGATATTCAGCAAAGGAGGATTCCGCAAGAGCTAGCAAGATGGCAGTGTTAATTAGGCATCAGTGAATAAATTGTTTTTATGATTTGAATTATATCCTATTTTTGTAATTAATTTATAAATTACCTAATAAACATCTTTGAAAACAGTATTTTTTATTTATAAATTTAATAAACAATATTGTTTACTATTATTTAATCCACCTTGCAATAAAAGTAAGTACGGCTCTGGCATCTGTCAGAATTCTCAATAATTACATGAAATAATACTCGACACATCCAATACAGTCTATGACGTCACAATTAATGACGCACCGAAAAAAGGCTCTGAGAAGGACTATAGATGTTTTGGCTGTTTTCGTGTTTGAGCATATTTTCTTAATCGATGTTGTTACAGTTACTTTTATTTTTTATTTTTATTTTTATTTTTTTTTTATTTTATTTTTTTTATTTTTTATTTAGTATTTAAAGTATTTAAAGGTTCCAGATCGATTCAGCCTGAAAAAAAAAACAGTAGTTTGAGTAAAACCACGGATAATAAGACGAAGTTGTAGCGAAGCTATGGCCTTGTGTCCTTACTTGGATACCCTAGTCCCAAGAATTAGGAGACTTCCTTGCCTTACTTCTAAGCTGCACTAGTGGAGTAAAATGAGACAATTTATAATAAAAAAAGCACTAAAATCACATGATTTACTATTTCTATTATTACTATCTCAAATATTTTTTATTACGAAACAATTGGCTAATACAACAGCGACAATAGTACTAATGAGTATTAATGGTTCCACTTGAAAAAATCAAGAATTTTGGATCTCTGTATCCGCAACTTTTAAAAAATAAAAAAAAGTGGTCGTCAATGTTCGTACATCAAACTTAAATAATATTGGAATATACCTACCTATGCATCCATTCCAAACAAAGGCTTCCGTCATCTCTGTTATCTGCCGGTAAACAATTTAACACATTGTCGTAATTAAGCGTTGTGCCTAAATGCAATTTAACGACATCTTCCCCTTCATCATTAAATATTTTCACAGTTCGTTTTGCTTTATTTAGTTTCATATTTCCAAAATAAACTTTAGCTAACACTTTTTGTTGGTATAAGAAATATGCTGTGACTATGAGGACTATAATTGTAGTGAACAGAAGACATACAAATACTTTAGTTTTGTATTCTGGCGATTTCTTCTTCCTAAGCGTCTGTGGCAAGTTCTAAAACAAACATAATAATCATTAAAAAACAAAATTTAAAATTATAAATTTATACAGATGCCCCAACCAAGCTGTCTTTCACCTTTTAATGGTGTTCAAAAGTTCTCTGTCTTTTCCCATTCTGTGTAACACCGTTACCCAGAACCGGCATTTAAAACAGTAGTCATCAGCAGAGATATAGCAGATATAAAATATAAATTGATTGAACCAGCATTCGACAGGTTATAGACATTTTTACACACTTTTTATAACTATTTAGACATCACTATACAGTTACTGTAATATACAGTGTGGAAATCACTTATGGAATAAAGTTGTTTGTGTCCTTACTATAGAAAATAATAAAAAAACTCTGGGACACGTTAACTTTTAAATTTAAATGTGCGATTTTTAAACATAAATTTAAATATACAGGGTGATCCACGCAAGTTTGACATAGTCTATAATTCTTATTTTTAATGAAACACCCTGTATATTTTTATGTTTTTAAAAGACTCTTAACAACCTGATTTCAACGAACTATATCATGTAGAGTCTATAATGAATAATACAAGGTGAAATTTTGAAATTAATAATTTATCACGTGTTACGATATTATTTTAAATTAGCTAAATACAGACAATACACTTCTACGCTAAGTGTCAGTATATTGGGGAAAATTTGTGTTTAGTAACCGTGTTAACATTTTTTGTCATGAATAGGTAAAAACTGTCTAGATAGTCTGCTAATTAAATTAAATTGGTAAATAATGCGGAATCAATCAATTGTTGGTGTGTTGACATTTTACATTAAAATAATAAATTCCAAATTAAAAGCTAATTTCTTGCAGCAATAAAAATAAAAAATTTAACTGGGACCCACTGAATTGAGATTTTAATGATGATCGGTTACGGGGAGAATTGAAGAAGTCAAGTTGAAGTAGCAAACTTATTTAATCAGAGGTATCCTCAGTTGCCTAATATTTGTACTGTGTCTAAAACTGTGTCTACTTTAGACACAAGGTACTGTGTCTAAAATTTATGGACAATTTAGAGAACCATTTAAACATGTCAAATCATTAAAAAAAGAAAACCGAACTTCATTGAAGATGAGGTAAAAGTGGATGTTTTGTTAAGTGTCGCAGAGAATCCAACGTCAAGTTCACGTCAAATTGCACATCAAAGCTAGCAGTAGAGATCCAAACCTAGCTGCCAGCCACCTACAAAGCGCTCTGAATAGATTCCAAAGATGGTGCATAAAATGGAAAATTGCACTAAATCCTGACAAGACACAGGCCGTTATGTACAGACACAGAATAAGGAAACCAGACAGGGAAATCACTATAGGAAACACCCCTGTAGAATGGACGAACGAGGCCAAATACCTCGGAGTCATTTTAGACAGAAAGCTCACTTTCACGGAACACGTAAAACAAACTGTCTACAAAGCAAAAGCACTAAGAAGTCAACTCTCTTCGCTAATCGGCAGAAAGAGCAAACTTCGCTTTAAGACAAAAATGAGGGTAGCTAATAGTATAATACTACCCTCCCTAACATATGCATCTGCCGCATGGGGACACACATGTCAAACGAATAGGAAGAAAATCCAAACAACACAAAATGGATAATCAGAGAAGCACTGAACCTACCTCAATACGTTCCACTGAGGTATTTATTCAGGGACTCTGGACAGAAAAGAATCCTAAGGACAATGGACGAAAGAGCAAACACCATTTTCAATGGTCTCGTAAATCATCCAAGCAGGACATTAAGAGAGTTGACAAACTACGACATAAACACTAGAACGGTACATAAACGGCCAAAGCAACAACTTATTGGATATAGAGAAGAAGGATAAATGAAGAAAGAGATAAACACAGAGCCGACTACAGAGTATATTAGACAGTGAGCACCAAAAAAAATATAGTATATAAGAACAATATACACCGGGGTGTGTGCAGGCACTATACACCCGGGAATGCACACCCCACCACACGCACACTTAGGTTAGATTAGGTTTAGATTAGAATAGGGAAAACAAAAAACACAAAAAACATATACACGGAGTGTGTGAGAGCGTTATACACTTGGGAATGCACACTCCATAGTTAAGGTATTAGCATAGATAGACTTAGTTTAAAAAAAAAATAAAAATCGCTCACTGTCTAATTAATGTCATGTCATCTTCAAGATAAACAAGAACACCCGTTACATCACAAAAATTTACATAACACAAATAAGAATGTATAAAAGGCCCGTTAGGCACTCTATACCAGCCAGCAGGCACAGGCCCTTCAGGCAGATCAAATATTGATCAAACGCGGACTCTGAGCATCGAGGTCATGTGCGGCAAGCATGGGCTTGGTGGCCAGGACTCACTTCTCGAACACCCAGCCGGCGAGGAGAACAAAATTTTTTATTTTGTCAAATCGGCGACTGAGTGAACGAGCACACACATTCTTTTCCAGACAGAGAGCTGTCGGTCTAGACCGATGGCTCTCTGTCTGGAACACACGCTATTTTTTAGGGACATGAGTCCCGAAGTAAAGCTAGAGTAACTTCTATAGAGTCAGTAAAGTTAAATAGGGAGAAAAGCCGACATGTGTGCTACCCCTACAGTTAGGTGGCCTAACCACAGTCATTAAAAACAGAAGGTGTCTCATTACCCAAGACACCTTACGTAACATTCAGATCATAAGCCTCCTCACGTAAGTCACACGCTGAGGAGGGGTGGAGGAAAAGCCTGGGGGTCAGATAGGTACCACCTCAACTAGTGAGGTGTAACCGGTTTGATTTTCGGACATGTGGATCCCACTCCTACAGTGGTATACACATATCCCTAGGGGTAGGGTTGATCGCCTCGCGGGGTTGCACGTCAAAATAATGTCAGTCACATAAACGTCCTAAGGTGTCTCAATGAAGAAAAACTTCATCCATATAAATTGACTTTTGTGCAGGAGCTAACAGATCCCGATCGTAGAATGGATTTCTACGAAAGAATGATGGATAAAATTAACACAAATCAAATAGCTCTTGGCACAATTCTTTTTTCTAATGAATCAACATTTATATTGAACTAAGAGGTAAACTGACAAAACTGTAGATATTGGGCAGCGGGGAATCCTCATTGGATGCATGAAACACATACTTACTATCCTTAAAAGTTGAATGTTTGGGCAGGTATTGCAGGCAGTTGACTAACTTATATCCCAATCCAATAGATCTGACTCTACCGCATGAAACAGTCTGGTTCCAGCAGGACGGTGCAACACCCCATTATGATTTAATGGTGAGAAATTACTTGAATAAAATCTTCTTCAATAAATGGATTTTTCGAAGGGGAACTAATAAGTGGCCAGCTAGGTGGCCATATCTTACGCCTTTGGATTTTTTTTCTGTTGGGTTATCTCAAGAACCAAGTATATGCAACACAATCAACTAGCATTGAAGACATTAAAGAAAAGATAACTACAGAAATACGGAATATTCAACCTCAAAATTTAAACAAAATTCGGGATGTTTTATAGGAGACTGTGTTATTGCCAACAACAAGGTAGAGAACATTTTGCGCATTTATTTTAATGTAATTCAATTAATTCCATCGGGTATTCTATGAATTAATTCTCTTGAAGAAAATTATATTTAATTTCAAAATTTCAGATTGTATTATTCATAATAGACCCTATATGATATAGTTTATTGAGATCACGTTATTAGGAAACTTTTTAAAACATAAAAATATACAGGGTGTTTCATTTAAAACACAGATTATGAACTATGCTAGACTTGCGTGGATCACCATGTACATTCCAATTTATGTTTAAAAAGCGCACATTTAAATTTAAAAGTTAACGTGTCCCAGAATTTTTTATTATTTTCTAAAATAAGAACACAAACAATTTTATTCCATTAATGGTTTCCACACTGTATAAAAGAGGTGAAACAAACAAATACAGAAAGCCAATAGAGCCGCAAGATGTCTAGGCAATACAATATGGAGGAAAAACACATTAGAATGGAAATCAAGATCAAAATTTACAAAGGAGCTATAAGACCAGTAATGATATACTCGACATAAATAACATCTGATACATTAAAGAAGCAAATGATGCTAAAGAATAGAAATGCGAATATTAAGAAGAATAACTGGAGACACATTGAGGGATCAAAAAAGAAGTAACAAAATCAGCCAACCTGCAAGGTGAAAAGATATGTGGAGAAAAAGTGTATATTGAATAGGAAGACAAAATTGAATAAAAATTTTTATTTCAAATCCTTTATAAAAGGTATATAATTATAATTATTCTATACTTACGAAGCAAGGTATATAACTCCTGTATAATACAGGTGCTCACCTACGGAGCACAGACATGGACATTTATACAGGCCAATTTGGATAGGATAAGGAAGGCACAAAGAGCGATGGAGAGACAAATGTTGGGTGTATCACTTAGAGATAGAAAACGTAACCAGTGGATCAGAACCAGAACAAAGACAGTAGACGCGATAGAACAAGCAGCAAAACTGAAATGGAACTGGGCTGGACACAATGAACGTCTCCACTACGGACGATGGAACAATGCCATCGGAAAGTGGCGTCCATACAATGCAAACAGATCAAGAGGCAGACCACAGATGAGGTGGAAAGATGACATCAGGGAACAAGGAGGTCCCACATGGCAGAGAACAGCTCAAGATAGGGAAAGATGGAGAGAACTGGGGAGACTTATATCCAACAATGGAAGGATAGAGAATAGGTTCAAAAAAATTATAATTATATACCTTTTACAAAGGATTTGAAATAAAATTTTTTGTGATATATGGTATACAGCCAGCTACAGGAACTTAGTTTCCTAGTGGAAAATTGAATAATCAAATAAGCTGAACAGCAGGCAACAGGGCAGTCAAGATATATAATGAAAATAACTTAGTAGTATGTAAAATTGTAGCAAAAATTTTATTATTGCAAACAAAAGGTGTAAACCTTATAGCAATCCTATTTATTTTGCTCATATAATATAATACTTTATTTTGACTTACCTGAATTTTTTCCCTAAGTAAACTGGCTATGGAATTAATAGAAGTGATCGAATTAGACGGGGAATTACCTCCTAGCTCTGAATCTTCTGGCGGTTTTAACATTCTGGGACTAAGTACCGATTTCCTCCTTACACTACGTGGGTAGCCACTGTAAAGGTAAATAAATAAATGACCTTTCTTAACCGCTACGCATTTTAAAAAATCTGCCAATATTTAACTTTTTTTAAATGTGTCTGATCTTTCGAAGGAACAAGTCAGACTGAGGGAATGAATTAAATTAAGTAACAAGAAAGTGTTGGTATAAGAGGATGTGATTATTCTTTATTTAATAATGTTTAAGTCATTGGCGGAGTAGTAACCTAAAGAACAAAAGTTTTAATGTTAATAGTTACTTTTATATTTTTTGATAAGAAGACGTTTACAAATTGATGACACGTAATTTTATAATGTCACCTATTATATTCAGGTCTACAATTTTTTTGAACCTATGCTTCTATCTTCTTCTCAAGGTACCCTCTCCATTACTAAAGGTTGGCTATAACTATAGCAAATCGCTCTCTATTTTGAGCTGTTCTTAGTATCGAATGTGTGTCCATGCCTGTCCAGTAAGGTGTATTACAATTTTTTTTATTATTATTTAATTTTTCAGGTTGATAAAAAGTTGTTACTACCATCGTAGATCTACAAAAAAATCTTTTTGAATTTCAACAATATTTAAGTCTCCCGGAATGTACAAAAAGTTTATAATTTATTGTAAAAAAATACGTTTTTGAAAAAATAATTTACACAGTTCATAAATTACAAATGATGTAAGTTAAAAAATGTGTATTTTTACATTTAATTTATCCATAGTAGGTAAACATTTTGGTTCTGAGTTAAATTATTTAGGTAACCCGGAATTATTCTAAATATATCACAATTTTCATATTTAATTCAAGTTTGACATGAATCAGAAACAGCAAAAAAATTCTAATACAATCATTACAGTGCTGTATTATAATGCAATGGGTCAAAACTTAAGTCCGTAAGCTAAGTAGAAGTTGATTTTGGAGACGAGCTGGCACTGACTTGTAAGTCATCGGATGTCTGGCGTCTGGCTCCCCTCCACCACTCACTCACACCTTTGTTTCTGTTAGGTTAGTCTGACTCCACCGTTCAATATGACAGCACGTGGTTTGCGCGTTATTACATGTATTTCAGTGTGTTTTGTTTAGTGTGTGTGGTTTATGACTTGTGAATTCCGTGTGGTTTTGTTGTTTTTCTATCATGAGTAAAAAGACAAACACTATAACAACCAGGAAATGCACTGAAGCTTCTATAGTCGGACAACCTCTTGACATTACTGATATTAATGTTTTACCTACTAAAAGTGACGGGCTGAGGTATTTTGAATGGGTGAGAAATCAATTGAAATCTGAAGGATGCTACCAACCACAGAAAAAGTTAATTGTAATGCGAGTGACACATAAGTTAGAGCAGAAAAAATCATTAATACCTGGTTCATCTACTAACAATATTGTGTTTATGATTCTACAATTGCATGAGAGGTGTGAAAAGATTAAAAAATCTTCAGGTTGTAATACAAAAAATGCCAAGAGTTTTAAAGTTGCAGTTGAAAAGTTTAGATCTGACATTGATAATAGTCTTTTTGATATTTGGTCATGCAAATGTAGTGAACTAGACAAATGCTCAGCTCCAAGAAAAGTACCAAAATTAGAACATGCATTCTTGACCGACCAACGGAACTTGAGGATGATAATTATCAGAGGTATTGACCAAGCAGAGACTAAAAAAATTGAATAACGAAACAAACGGAAAAAAGTTCCTGCAATCTAAATTAAATAGGAATGTGGAACTAACTACTCCACCTGATTTAATAAATGTGGATATTCGTAGTAGTGACTCTGATGATGAATCCATGGAAGAAGAATCAAGTAGGCCTGATGAAAAGTTCAAGGTTCTAAAATAACTCTTCTAAGAGTTGCATTTCAAACAGAGCAGGTGCTCAACTAGCAAGTGTTCTTCAATTCAACTCGCACAAACGAAATAATTGTTTTTTACTTCGATGGTAGGAAGGATGAAACCATAATCAAAGAAATTGTACGTGGGAAATATGTCCGTAAAACTATACAAGAAGAACACATATCTTTGGTCTAGGAACCAGGTTCAGCATATTTCGGTCATGTAACTCCAAACAGTGGATATGGGAAAGATATAGTATCATCAATATTGTTACATGAGTGATAACTCCATTGATAACTCAAATATCAAAGCGCTTGGATGTGATGGTACGGCAACGAATACTGGAACATCGCAAGGAGCAGTTTTGTTGTTTGAACGCGCATTGAAACATCCGGTCCAAGTAGTAATATGTATGTTGCACTTAAACGAATTGCCTTTGAGGAAAGTTTTTGTTGCTCTTGACAGTCCAACCACAGGACCAACATCATTCAGTGGGCCAATAGGCAAAGGTTTGACCAACTGCCAAGACTTCCCGGTGGTTAATTATGACAAAATAGATAGCACCTTCCCAGAAGTCGATAGTAAAGACTTAAGTACGGACCAGAAATACCTTTGAGATATATGTCAGGCTGTAGTCAAAGGTGAATGTCCCTCTGAGTTGGCCAGTAGAAACCCCGGAAACTTGTCCCACGCCCGGTGGCTGACATTAGTAAATAGAATCTTACGTCTGTATATTTCAACTACTGAACCAACCCCACAACTTAGAAAGCTTGTTGAGTGAACTGAAGGCTGTGGCTCAGTCTTTCTTGCAAAGAAACGCCTTTATGGGTCATTCTGAACACATCCATTTAGGGATGTTGTTTGACTCTCGAAAACATATGCTTTGGCAGGCAAATGGATAGAAAAAGCTCGACAGACAGAAACAAGGGCACATCGAGTCTTCAAATTATCACAAGTTAATTTTGTGGCAGAAGACTACATCGATCTCATTGACTGGCAATCCACCACAATTACAGAACCACCACTTATAACTGACATCAGCAAAGAAGAGATTGAGATAATGGTTAATTCAGGAAGCAGTGATAGAAAAGAGTTCAAAATACCACTTCTAACTCAAGCGGTAGAACGAGTAGTAAAGGAAGTTACTGCAGCTTCTAAGCACGTTTGTGGCGTTCAAGAACGAGAAGGCTTTATAAGATCAAGAATATTGGACACAAAGTATCTTCCTAAGTTTGAAACTAAGCGACAGTACACATCTGCTACAGCTGTATTGTAAAAATAAATTACAGGTAAGATTTATTTCATACTTATTTAGGATTACATCACAGCATTCTATTTTGAATAGTAACTTAATATTAGTACTATAATTACAATCTGACACTTGCCCTAACAAATTCTCTTGGTTCCAGATCAAAGAAGCATTACAATACCTGTGACTTTGAAGGCTAACTGGATTTGTTTAGCCAACATCCTTCAAGATGAAATAAAGAACCATTTTAAAGATTTTTCTTTGTCAACTTTTTATCTGTAATCTTTAAGTAAACTTTTGTATTTCTTTAATAAATTTCATACCTCAAAAAGAGTCTTTTATTGTTTTAACATAAAATATCCTAAAGTTTAAATAAGTAAATATGTAATTTATTGTTCATTAATTATGTTATAGAATGCTAATAATCCTACTAACCTAAGTATAAGCAACAAACAGGTTTAACAACTAATCATAATAAAGAGAAGATATTGATTTTTCGTTGTTACAATTGAGATTTTCATAAAGATTCCAGGTGACTTTATGCTTAGTTACAGATATTATCCTAATTTTTATTGTTAACTGTTATCATGTACTTAATAAGTTGACAATAAAAATATAAAATTTAATTAAAAAAAAAAGATGAAAAATCGCGTTTTTCAGAAAAAAATCTGAAGTTTAAGTCGATTCCGGGAGACCTAAATATGTTTTAATTAAAACAAAACTTTTTTTGCCTTAAAGAGTAATGTAAGAGGCAACTTTTTATCAACTTAAAAGTTTGAATTTCGAAAATTCATTATTTGAGTATTTATTATGATACACCCTACTGTCCAGTCTCATATTTTTCAGCCAGGACCTCTTCTTCTTTCTACTTTCCCTTCCATTATCAGTCGCAGGAAGTTGCATTTTTTTCCTCTGTAAATATGTTCTAGATTCGTTTTTCTGGTTTTTACAATATTTAAGAGTTCTCTCTCACTCCCTATTCTTCTCATCACCTCGTTGTTGGTTACGTGCTCTGTCCAAGAGATCTTCAGCATCCTTTTTTAAAAATTCACATCTCAAAGGATTGTACACGTCTCATACTTGTGATTCCGAGAGTCCATGTTTTCACACTGTAAAGCACTAAGGAATAAATAAATACGTACTCAAAATCGTTTGTTATCCAGCAACCAATATACTGGAATTTTTGTACGGGTTCTATCGAATCCGATTCTATACGGGTTTGTTGTAGATACGAGTACTATTGTCGACATTTGTTGCACGTGTAACTGCCATTACTTTTGTTTTATTTGTGTTTATAATCAGCCTCAAGCTATCTCCCTCTCTGGTTATGGCATTCAAAAGTCGTTGCAAATTCTCAGCATTGTCCGCAATAACGACGGTGTCGTCTGAGTATCTTTGTAAAAGTTGTTTACATAAATATTCTCCGTTGATTTTTATTCCTTCTTCAATATTTTCGAGGGCATTTAGAAAGATATTTTCGGAATATATATAAAACAATAGTGGAGAAAGTACACAGCCCTGGTGAATACCTCTTTTTATTGACATTTCTGCTGTTATACGGTTGTATATTTTATTCGACGCGATTTGATCCCAATATAGGTTTTTAATAACGGCCACTGTGGTACGGTCTATACCATGGTATGTTAGAGTTTCTATGAGTTCTATTTGGTTGTTATCATCTACTAGAGTTGTCCATTTTGCATTAGCTTTCCTTTTTTTTTTCGGATGGTTCTCTGAGATTCTTTACATTTTACTTTATTGCGGTTTTTGTAAGATCTTCTTACGTACATCAGTTCTAGCATTTCTTCTGTCATTAACGTATTCTTTGTTTTTCTTGTGTTGTCTTGTAGTTGTTCTGTTTGTATAGTTGTGATTGTTGTTTTGAAGGTGTGCCAAATACTTTCTACTGATTCTTCTGCTACCATGGGTGCTTCACT